ATTTGTCGAAGTTCGAGAAATTAATGCAAATATTTTTTAACTAAAGAAAGAAAAAAGAATCATTTATATCTTATCTTTAAAAAAAATATACGATGCCACGTATCGAGTAGCCAGCCCTTTCAAAAATCATTCCAGTCGATCCTCTCGGAAGATCACGATCTACAAACAAGCGTAAGTCCATACCGCAAATCGGGCAAAGAGCACCCTCTAATCACCGCCACGTTTCCCATCCGATCGTATAGAAAATCGATTTCCCCGTTTGACGCAACCGCTTCTGGCCTGTGCTCATTGTGATCCTCTGGAGCACTTTTAGCCGCGGTGAACGGCCAAGTAACGCTCGTTAGGAGCGTATCGGGCTACGTAAACCGACGCATAAATTCCAATTTATCCTGCGGGCCAGGTTGTACACCTCCTCACGCTGTTGCACGCCGTGTCGAATACCATAAATCGATTCCAGGATACATTTGCATCGGGCCACGCCGATAACCGTGCGCTATCTCGTCTACGTATCTTCTAGTAGTACGGTGTCCGATCGAAAGAAGTGTATCATCAGTTCAACGTTGCTCGCTACCGGCTCTATTCGACGGTTGAATCATCGATCGAGGAGGATGTATCGCGAGAAAAAAAAAAAAAAAAAAAGAAAAATCCGCGATGAACGGCCAACGGTTCGAGGAAGAAGGGGAAAAGGCGGCTTCTCTGGTAGGAAAGGAAAAATGAGAGGGAAGAAAAAATCGGTGGATCGAAATGGCCGTCGGAGTAACTAAGTAGCCGGTTATGGCCGGCCAAGGTAGGGAATCGCGTTTATGAACGGTTACGATGCACCTTGTGCAACGTGCGCCTTCGTCCTATGTGATGCGAATTTGATTACGACGGAAAATTGATGGAGTCTGATAAAATGGTGAAATATGAATATGCTGAAGTTTATAAGAGTGCGAGTTTATACTGGTAAAATGGAAGTATGAAGCGGTATTTGTACGAGAAATAATACCGTTATCTCGGATAGATGTTTCTTTGTAGATCATTTTTAGAATTTTACAAATTCTTTCATTGTGTATTTTTTGATTTATCGGGAATGATTGGTACATAAGTGATATGAATTTTTAAAGTTTCGTATATTATTTCTTTATACTTTTGGTTTTTTTTTTTTTCATTCTTTTTTATTTTTAAAAGAAATATGGAAATTCGTTACCCAGATTTTACGAATTCTTTTTTTTGTACTTTTTATTTTTATTTTTCTTTTTATTTTTAGAAAAAGAAGAAGACAGCGATAATTGATATTCTGGAAGGGTAGAGTGTATCATTGAAAGGATGAACTTTTAAATTGTTCAGGAGATTAACGCAAGAATTTCCCCGGTTTAATAGACAAATTCCTTAGAAAAATTCCAGTGAAATGGCTGAAAATTTTCATATATTGAACGAAGAGTAGAAGCAGTGTTTAATGTATTTTACACATATTTCTCAAATTTGTCACTAATAGTAAACTTATTATGTTACATTTATATTTATATAAAATGATTTTTAGTATTTCTTTTTTTAAATACATTATTTATTTTTTGTCATATTCTTTTAAAAAAGTTCCATAAAAGTTAATTAAAACAAATTCATTTAATTCAAAGAATTTTTTTTACCAAAATGTTTTTCTTTTTCGTTCTCACTTTTATCTGATGGAATTTCTAATTTTAGCTATAGAACGTAATTTTCAAGTTTAGGAAATTTTCTCAAGTGTACGAAAGTTTTTGAAGAAAAAGAGTAAGTAAAAAAAAAAGTAATTAAATTATGTTAGTTATTCCTATCTTTAAGTAAACTAAATTTCACAATTTAAATATTATTAAGTAATATTTTTAAGTATATAAGAAAAAACTTTTGATTAATTTGTCATTACATTAAATTGTATGAATAAAACATGAAATTTATTATTTTATCTTTTTCTTTTTTTCGAAACAGTGAAAGTTTTTAAATAACGATTTTTGAAAAATATTTTATACGATAAATATTTTAAATAACGTTAATCTTTCAAAAAATTGTAAATTAATAATTATATTTTATACTGTTATATCGTTAAAGTAATCTCTTCATCAAAATTGATTTAAATTATTTCAAATAAAGAAAAAAAAAAAAATATAACGAATAAAAGGAATTAAAATTTTAATAAAGTCCAATAACACATATGTTATATAATGCAATCTAATGTATATTAAGTTCTTAAAATTTTTGCAGGATATATTAAGTGTGTGCGAAAGTAACGTCAGTTTTTAGGTATGAAATCGTGCTATTATCTAGCTAAAATAATTTTTCCCATTATGCACAACTTTTTATAATTTCCGGCTAGAATTTTACAGCTAAAATGATTCTTCTTTTAAGGCCACCGACCCATTTTCTTCTGCATTTTAAAATTCTTTTTTTAAAGGAACTAAGTTTTATGGATCAAAATACATGGAAATTCAAAAATACAATAGAAAAAAATATAAGGGATAAAACTAGTAATTTCTGTATTATTGTAATCTTATAATCTTCTTAAAATATCTTAAAAAGACTTTTCTGTTTTTCAATCAATAACAAGTGAAAAATTAAAATCAATTCAAGTCAAATTAATTTTTTAAAATTTTTTTACTCAATTTAAATTTCATCACTTAATTTAATTATGAGACATTGAACCAAGAAATATTATTAGAAATGCTAGAAATCATTTAAAAATAAAATAATGAAAGAATAAAAATATTCTTTTTTTTGAATTGTGCTATTATTATTTCTTAGAGATTTACAATAACTCTTCTCAAAGATTTCTTAAATGTAAAAATTACAATCTATAAAGAGAAATTATTTATTGCATCAAACAAAAAAAAACGATATTAATATTTTTGCAAGAAGCGATGAAATTTGCAATAAATAAATTTTGAAATTTGAGATGAAGTCTGGAAATTTATGACGTCTCAAAGACATCGTTTTATAATAAAGAATAAATCTTCGCGAATTATTTAAGTACCATCTGTATAAATTTGCCAACATTTTTCCCGAAATGCTAATTAAAACTTTCTTCAATCGCTTCATGATTTACGAAGCACTAGTTATACCGCATTCATAACTGTATTTACAATCAGTTACAAGGTAAAAGTTGAAAATTTCTTCTAGGAAGCGTGCTCCATTCGTGCTAACGACGCTCTCTTCTTTGTCGAGATCTCTCCGAGAGGAGAGGCTGTGAAATCAATCAAGAAGCGTGATGGACCAATTTTCACAGATAGCTCTTTTTTTTTTTCTATCATTTTTCTCTCGGCGTGAATACGAAAAAGCATTGTATTTAAGTATTTAAGGCGAGCTATTGTCATGATCTTTGGATACAAAAAATTTCTAAATGATTTTATAGTTGTGATCTATTGTGTATTATCTCTTCAGTTTCCAGTCAAAAAGTTTTAATTGATGTCACAAAAGAATGGCACTTAAACTTTTTGAAAGATATATACAGAAACTTTTTATTATTAATTATTATTTATTAATTAATTTAGACTGTTATTATTATTATTTTTTTGTTATCATTAAAACTTATTCAAATAAGAAAAAAATTTTTATTTAGAAATTGTTTAATTTCAACAGGAAAATCTTTTTTTTTTTTTTCAATTTAAGAATTAAATAGTATGTTTGATTGTATTGATTTTATTGTAAAATCTATATCAGTTAAGAAAGAAATATTGAAGGATATATGTTGAATACTTATTTAAGTTAGGTTTTACCATGTTGCGAAAAAACTTTTAAGTCTCAGTGTCGTCAATGAAATGAAGTTTTAATCCACAGCGAATTAAGTTTTTGTTTTGTTTCAAGTGGTTTGTGTTTGTGTAACTACTTTCGAAAGTATTAGGATGTAAATTAAGCTATATTTTTTTTTTTTTTTTTTTTTTTTTTTT